AGGAAAACAGTTTTGTATCATTGTCACGAGTGCTAATACTAAGTACAAAAACCCCAGTACTTGAATTATTTCTGTGTACCATGCAAGTGACATAAGTTTTGAGTTCTGAGGTTTTTGACTTCTACCTCTGCTGACATCCAGAGGAAAGTCCCAGAGGAAAGATCTCATGGCTTTTTAGCTTACTAAAGCTTGAGTCAGGCAATGAAAGGAACTTATTTTTCTTTGTTGTATCATTTTGAAGGCTTAACTGTACCAGACAAGCAGGTGAAATGCAGCATTTCTCATGTTTTATTTTGGATCTTGTTAGGTGCCATAAATATTTTTCAATTAATTTGTACACGAGCATCTATACTTTCTTTAAATGTATTTTTTTGTAAATAGTATTTACAACTCAACATTTATTAACATGTTTTATTGCAAAATCTTTCAAATTTAGTCCTCAATTTTTACCATTCATATTGAGATTGTCTTTTGTTTATGTATGAGTCTAGTAGTTAGAATTTATTGACTGTTACTTTTAGAGGCAGTGTTATAAAATTGTTCCTGACATTCATTTATGACTTTGTTGCTTTCTTATCTGCCTACTCTCTTCTTGAATATAAAATACAAAACTGTCAATTCTGGCTGCTGGCATCTGTGTAAAGAATGTGGTGTTTCTGTGGTCTTCTAGGTATTTAACTGAAAACTCTGATGTTTTGTTACATTTAGGAAATTGATCTTAGTGTTACAGCAAGATACAGTTGAACCTGAGAATGTGTTCTTACTTTTGTTGAACAAACTAAATTCCCATTGATTTCAGTAACTAAAAGCAGGATGGTTTTGCCTCTTCTCCTCCCATGTTCTTCTTGCTGGATTTATTTTTGTACATCAATGATAACCAGTATAGCCTTCCTAGTGTCCATTTCTTCTGCTCAGGATGAGCAAAGTTGTTCCAACACTTCAATGAAAAGCCTGAGGGGAATGGGAGGGTAACTGCAAATTTGTATTTCCCTTCTAACTTTTCTAACTTGTCATGCCAATTGCTCTGTGGGACTAGTTATATACTGGAAACAGTTTGTTTTACCTGTTGTCTCCAAAATTATATTTTCTCACCACAAACCCTGAATCTCAACTTTTTTATAAATGAAGAAGTTGAGACCACTGTCAGCATGATCATCAGAAGATTCCAGGTAACTTAAAAACTGGTAACTGAGTTTGAGGGGTATAGAATTTCACAGAGTATATGTGCTCCCCTCCCCCCTTTATTTTATGAAAACAAGCAACTGGAAAGGCAGAAGATTAAAATTATTGCCTATGTGTAGCCATAGGGTTTTCATGGACAAAACTTCAGTGTCAGTGGAGCCTGTATGGCCTCTTGCCTCACGGGAAAGAAGCTGGCATTCATAAATTGCACTGCATACAGAGCAAGATTACTTTTGAAGTGCCTTCATGCCTTTATAGTCTGATTATTTTAGATTTTAGCTAGTTATTTTAGCCTTTTTTCTTGTTCAGAGATACTGAATTTAATCTTTCAATGACAAGAACTACTTAAATTATAATGTAACTATTAATTCAATCCTTTCTTCTCAAAGCTTACTGTTAACTGTAAAAAAGTAAAACGTATTCTTATTTGTGTAACTATCCGGATTTGTTGTCACTAACCTAAAATTTAGTAGCTGAAGTAAAAGAGCATATAGTCAGATGCCAAGTAGTAGGTTGTATTGATCAGTGTTAGACTCAGCATGGGAACTCCTTTAATCCCGGACAGATGCTGAGAAGCCCACACTGGTCTTCAAGAGTCTTCATGTGTAGCCAGGCCAGGGGCAAGGCAGGCGTGTGTCTTTTTTCTAATAATAATGCAAAGAATTGTCTCATCCGTCTCTGAAGTGCATGTTTTGTTTTTTTTTTATGAGAACTCTGTAAAATCCAGGAACATTTCTCTATTGAAAGTTTTCAGTTGCCTTAATCTAGTTGGCCAGTGGGGTAGAGGGAAAAACTAGCCTTTTACTGTCGAAAAAATGTATAGGGTAATGCACCTGTGAGCTGAAGCAGTTGACAGAAATCTTCTGTTGTGATGATTCATTGTTCTGCAGTTTTGTCTTCTAGTACAATGTTGTTAGTAAGCTATCCATCAAAGGCTGAGCTCTGCTGATGTAACTCTTGTATGAAGCTGATGTGAAAAATTATCTCAAAGAATGAACAATTTAAAGAGCAGCAAATACAAAAAATAATGTGCAGTATATAGCATCAAAGCTGGTGATTTAATGTGGCAAGATCTAAAATACTGAGACAGGAGTCCTAGCTAATCATCCAGGCTACTTCCAAAGCAAGTTTTCCCTCCTGCTTGCCTTTTAACCTCACTTTGAAGGTGACTTTTCCAAAACTGTTTTCAGTTTAATCTTTTTCGTTTTAATTACTCAGACTAACTGCTGTTTCTTTACATTGTCTGTGTTCCAAATATGTAGTTTGCTTCTTAATGTGTTTGATGTATTCTGCAAATGATTTTTTGTCTCTAGACTCTTAGAGAAGACATAGAAGGTATCTTCTTTCTGACAGTTTATCAATAAATAAAAAAAATTATTTACTTATAATGGGGAGAAGGATAATACTTTGTAATACATTTTTTCTGTACATCTGTCTAGAACTTCTTACACATCTGGAAAATGTACTGATATACTATTAAGCCATTTGTTTTTCCAATGTCATTATGAGTCATAGTTTCCTTTGCACTTTTGAGTTTAGTGTCATGTTCTTACCCAAGGTGATGATAAATAAGATTTTAGGATTAAAATTTTAAAACTTCAAGCTTTGGGTAACTCGACTTAAAATATTTTTAAAAAAAATCCTCCATGTTGCCGATGCAGAATATATTTTCAAAAAGCATGTATTTTAGTATATATTTCTAAATGTATGTTTTATTAAAAGTGTTATGAGAAACCGCAAGATGTGATTGATTCAATTCATGCTGCCTAAAATATAGACTCATCAGTCTTTGGGTCTGAATTGGTATGAGGATACTAGGAAACGCAGATCCTTAAATTTCAAATCTGCGTTTTTACTGCATACTAATCATAGATATTTTAAATTTTTCAGGGGTATGTGTTGGAAAAAAAAAATTGCCAGATATTCATTTCCAACTTTCTTAACGAATGGCAATTATGTATATGGATATAGGGACAGCATCTTAATGCATCAACTCTAAAAATATTGATGGATTTTGAAAAGGAAAGTTCTGGGGGTTTAGGCAAAATCAGTGACTGTCACTTGGTTACTGTGCTACCGTCTTGTTTGCTAGCCTATTTGAACACAATGACAGTAATTGTTTTGTCTTCCCTTTTGTAGACAAGTGACATAAGACCTCCTGATTTTAAGTGCAAGTAGTGTAGTTTTTTTCCCCTCTTACTTTCACAAGATGTTTCCTCAGTATGGTTTGGTTTCAGTCTGTGGAAAACAACCATTTCCTATGATTGTTGTTTTCTCAACTACTATGCCATTACTAAAAAATAAGGAATGCAACTTGTGAGAACATATAGGAATTTTGTAATTGGAGTATACAGGGTAGGAAAAATTCATTAGGTAATGAATTCACAATGTTAATTGTGAATTCATGTTAATTCGTTCAATGTTATTTCACCTGCAAATCACTAAGTATTGTGAAGTAGGTTTTCTTTTTCTGGTAAAAAAAAGGAAAAACTAGCTTGGGAAAGGGATGCAGGAGAAGCAGGAAAGGAAATAGATACTCACAGGAAGTTGCAACTAATAGTCTTCTCTACAGTGAATCACACTAACTTATTTCCTGGTAGAACATGCATTCTCTCAAAAACCTGTATTTAACATTTGCTGACAAAAGTGGGATGTTCACTGAAAATGTGGAGGTAAATGCATTCTCTTATTTCTTTTAGAATACTTTGTCCTGCTTAGAAAATAAATTGTTTCAGGTTTGAAACAGTTTTGTCTGTTCTTGATGCAAGAATAAATGCAGAATTGCATCATCTGTTAGGGAAGAGAAGTTATGGTGTAGCATATGTATTGTCAAATAGTGTCTCTGGTAGGTGACTCAGTAATAATTGAAGCACGCTTTGGTCTTTGGATAGTGAATAGAATCATTTATCAGAGCAACTGTTAGTTCAGTCTTTTTCTTTAATTTATTTTTCTTACAGTCACTTTTGCTTCCAAATTCAGAATTTAACTAGACATTCTGCAAGGCACAGACTGAAAAGGTGTTTGATGTAAATTAGTGTTTTTTAAGGGAAAGACCAGCATTCTGCCTTAGCTAAGCTATTATGTTGATTCTTCTTCAGCCTCTAGATTCATGATAAATCCTTTTAGCTATGGCAAATGGAGCATTTTGCAATTTCTTGAAAGTAAGAGAAAATATTTCTCTTAGTTTTACAGCTTTTGCATTCACAATTGCATAACTACTAAAAGTAGTATGAAGGCAAAAAAGATACTGTTATTGTTGACTTCATTTTTTAGCTTTCTGGTATGTGAGTACTGTAGGTTATCTGTCATATTCTGTACTTTAAAATCCTCTCCTCTGAGGAATATCACTGTATGTCTCTATTGCCTTTAAAGTGTGTTGTAACTGAGTGAGTGATATTGTCAGATTTTTCTCCTTCAGTGTTGCCAAAATGTTTTTGAATAGCATTGATGAAAATGGGACACTAATCATTATTCACTGTGCTTTAAATTGGCAAAGCTCTGCTAAGCAAAGGATGTTTTAATACCTAAAGCCTTGAAAAGACTATGTTATTTTTGAAGCAGTGTATCTAGAAATTATGTGGCTAGATATAAATGTGCAATATTTCTATAATTGTGCATGCTTTTAATAGGTGGTAGCCTAATTTCTGAACAGGTTTATTTTATTTGCTTTAGATAAACTCATGTAGTAATAGAACCCTTATATGTAATGATAATCAAATTCTTTGGGTTTCATCTTTTAATGAGTATTAAAGATTGTAAAATAAATTCTGTAGTAGTTCTAATTTTTTTATTACTATTATTCTGCTCTTCTCCAACAGGAAGGAACTGGAGACCTTCAAAGGTAAATTCTATTTTTATTTTCTACTTCAATGTTTGCAATTAATTACAGTAATTCTTGTATTAAGTGAAACTAGTAAGGAACTGTTGCACTTCTACATCTTACAGTGTTAATTTTATGTGAACCCAACAGGCTGTTTATTTTTCAGTTTATCTGTTCTTGCTGCTGTTTTCTTTGGAAGAGTCATAAGTGTAGGAAGAACACAGATAGTTTGTTGCCTTATCTAGGTTTCAGAGATTGTCTGCCTAATTCAAGCCTTTCCTATGGTGTTCAATTTTGGAAGCTAAGGGCCTTGTCTTCGACTAGTTGATGTCTTTTCTAGCATGAATATATTTTTGACACATGCCACAGCCTGTTACTTTTTTGATTTTTATCTGGCTATTTCTAAGGCATTTTCACAGTATTATGTTATCAGACAAATATAATTTTTGTAGTTCAACATGATGATATATACAAATATTTGTCCAAAATATGATGTAATCGCTGGCAACTGTCATGTATTATTGCTTTATCTGTGGTACATAGATGGAACGTATTACCATTTGCAGTAAATCTTAAATTCAGGTTTACTCTACCTACTAATGTTAACGTTTGATCAGCTTGAGAATTGCCCTCATCTTTTACTTTGGTAGGATGTGACTAGCTTTGTGACTAATCTTTATGTGAATGAAGTCAGGTACATATGTCAATTAGTTGCCTTTTGAAATTGAAAGGAGTGGAAATTTCTTTCAGCTACATCTTTGCCTTTTCAGTTCATTACTATCTCATCTTTGTGATGCTAAAAAAGGAAAATAATAAAGCTACATTAACAGATAAGCAACACAGATTATAAAAAATGTCACTTTATCTATAGCTTACTATAAACAATGCTTTTCTTGATTGATTTGACAACTTTCAACACAGACTGGCTCAATGTAAAACCAAAGATAATGCGAAGCTCATTCTGTTCCAAAGCAAGACAACTACTTTGTAGTACCTGATGCTTGTGAGAATAGTGAATCCTGGGTTTTTTGTTTGTATTGATTAGGTGTTCTAAGTGATATTTTTTTTTTCTTTTGAAGCCAGGAGAACAGTTTCCAATGTTATTTGTCTCTTGGATTCTTGTTATTTTAGTAGAGATTTTTACTTATTTGACAGTAAGTATTTTACAAAGATAATTCTTTTGATGGAAGAGGAAGGTGTTAGTTATGTGCCGACCTTGAAATTTATACCAAACTAAGGAGCTGGTTCTATAATGGATACAGAACCATACTGATTTCCAATACTATTGTGAAAGACTTGTCTTGGTAGCCAAGGGAAGGCTAGAAAAGCACAGACAGAGTGACAGATGTTTGAAAAGGGGTATTAAACACCTGTCAGCCTATTTTCTGTAGATTTTTGTACAATGGACAAGCTTGTACCTGACAGAAGAGAGAGGAGTAATAGATAAGAAAATTTGAAGAATGGTCTTGTCGAGCAAGTCTATTTTAAATCTTCTTGTTTTCATCTTATAGAAAGAATTTAAACAATAGATTCGGTGTTTTGACTTTGGCAACAACTTTCACTGTCTTGCCTGACATTTCCCACAAAATTGAGATTAAACTACTAAAAACCAGGTGCGTGGTTGATTGAACATGCATACTTGCAGGAGATGTTTTTGTGTTTCTGGCTTACTAAGTTGTTCCTTCTCAGATCTGATGCTACTTGGAATTTTTGTTAACCTGGATTGAACTAGAAGTGTTCATTAGATTGTTTTCAGTCGGTTTTTTTTGGCCTTTTGGACCTTACATCAGTGTCTGAGTATCTAGCATCAGCTCATTGGAAACAGAAAGAGTAGGAGATTCTTAATCATGAAGGATTCATGATTACATAGTGACAGATGTTTGGGTTCTACAGCAGCTTTGCCTAATCTAACTGGTGGCTCCTTCTTGTGTTTTCTGTTTTGAGCTTGGGCACTTGATTTGCTTTAGTTTTGGTTGATAAAGCACGCTAGAATAACTTGGTATATGTCTGTAGAAGTCCTGTCACAGACGAAGGAAAAGGCAGCAGCAAGGTCAGGCAGTGTGTCTAAGTTTAAAATTTAACACAGTAATCTAAAAAGCAAAAGCTTCTGGGGGTATATTACCTAACTCATTTGAAGGTTGTGGTGAGGAAGTATTAGTGCCATTATATGAAGCTTTTATGGTGAGAACTTATCTTGCTCATAACTCTGGTTTGTTATATGCAGGAAAAGTTGGTTCCAACTGAAATATGTGAAGTAGTTGAGTAGATGGTTCTTTACATTTTTATATTGCAAGTATAGACTACATCCTTAACTCATTTATATTTGCACAACTGTCCACAGTGTTATGTTCATCAACATTCCATTCATTAAATACCCAGCTAGGGGTCTAGGAAAGAAGAACTCTTTAAAATACCTTTATATACACTTGCGTCTTTCAATGCATGTGCACTTGGAAGCACTGTACATTAAATTATGTTCTAATGGAAAAAAACAGAAATGCCATTTTTTATAATAGTAACTTGTTATTTGGAAATCTGAATACCATATGCTGAAAAGTAATGGCATCCATATTAAGGGTGGTAAATGTCTTGCATAAAAATATATTTCATAAAGATACAAGTTCATTCTATCTGAATATGCAGAAATTAAAATACCACAAAAACATTCCTTAAATATGTTTGCTCTAGAGGTTAAAAGAGGGTTCTATGCACACTTTTCAGTGTCCAGATATAACTCTCACATCCACCAGTGCTGAGTTCTTATGCCTTGCTCAGGGTAGAAAGTGAGTTTTACTGGAATGAAGAAATTGAACGGTCTAGTCTAAGGTTCAAAATAGCACAGCACTAAAAACTTGAATTCAATGATACATCCCATCAATTACACAATGAATACAGAAAAAATGCTAATTAGATGTTGCGACTGACAGTGAGAATACAGATCTGACTTGCAAGACAGGTGGGTAGCTTCACAGGCCTCTCAGATCTGTTTTAAAATTTTATTTCCCTGGAGTTTTGTGTATGTATAAATATAAATAGCTATAGATACAGAGGTGTAGTCTGTAAACTTGTGAAATCTTCAAATGTCTGTAACCTTATAAACATTTTCATTGCCTTGTATATGCCTAGTATTTACTTATCTTAATATTGAAATAAAATCACCTTTTGCATAACCAAGAAACAGAATTGTTTCTGGTTTCATTTAGAACTTCCCACTCTGTGTGCTAAGGTACAAAGTGGTAATTCATTGACCTTATGAGTATATTCTTTGGGGATACCAGGCATCATCAAGAAAGGACTCTAACAAAGAATGTATATACCTGTTTGCAACATTGAAAAGTATTGGGAATCCTCTAACACGTGTTGGTGTTACTACCTTTAAGGAGCATGAAATAAGTATGTAATACTATTCTAAGAAATTATTATTTTTGTATTTGTCAGTGGAGATATTCTTTTAGAATTTGTTCGTGTCATTTTCACATTGGTATTGTAGATACCAGTTGTCTTTCATTGTGAGAAGTCAATTTTACTTTTCTTCCTCTTGCTTTAAGACTTATTTTTTGCAGACATTCTCCTTTGTTGTTTGCTGTACCCCCATTATATAGGAGCAGGACAGACCTCTCCAGTCACCTTTCTTTCAACTGCAGTGGTTTTCTGTTACAATGTAATTGCAATTGATTATTACTTAGTAATCTGTGATGCTGAGAAAGTGAAGGTTATAGGTTTTCCTTTCTTCTGTTT